GCATGTCCTATTTTTGCAGAGTAAAGAGGACTGGATGAATAGATCCCTAAATGGGGTGTGAGAGCTGGGAACCAGATATGCTCTTCCCTGTTTTCATGCCACCGCCTTCACCCGGGCGCCCAGCATCTGCTTTGCCACAGTGACATGCTTTGCTGTGTGTCATCTTCATTAGCTCTGCTAACTCCCCGCTGGGCAGACTATAATCTCTACTCTACTGATGAGTAAACTTAAGGCTTGAAGAGGTCAAGCTGCACGGTGAGCCAATGGCCAGTCCAGGATGAGAACCCTAGCCCCAAGTCCAGGCCTACACTCCTACCCACCAAGTTGCCTTGATTTCTTTAGCTATCCCCAGTGCCTCTCGCTACAGGAGATCAGTCTCCAGCTATGCTGTGTCTGTCAGCAACGCCGCAAAGCCAAGAGAACAGGGCAAGCCTGTCCTCTATGGGGCCTGTGGAGAGGAACAGTCTGCTACCTCCGGAACAGAGTGGTCTCCTTCCCTCCGGTGACGCCGTGATTCTGATGAATGAGAAGCACTTCCACGATCTATGAGGGGCAATGTACGGCAGCTGTCACTCAGGGCACCCCCACGCTACTGTCTGTTTGCTGGATGGGAGTTTGTGGCCTGCACGCCCTTCAGAGGCGCTTCCTCTCATGACTTCAGGAAAGGGAAGAGGACCTTCTTGCCTCAGGAGGACCCTGTATAATCCCCCAGGCGCCAGCTCAGAGCTCCCCTCCATCATCACAGCGACCTCACTCACAGCATTTGCCTCCCACTGCCAAACCTTGTCACAAGGAGCAGCTGGCAGCAAGGGAACATAAACACCACTCTGCAAAGGTCCAGCGCGCTCTCCCCAGCCCCTTCTCTCCCGCTACCGCTAACAACTGCTCTTCCCACACACGACCACCACCGGGGAAGGGCTCTCACTTGCCTCTCGCCAGCCTGTTCTGTGCTTAGAACTCGAAAGAGAACCTTCTTCAGTCTTAGCTGAATACAGGCCTAAAAGTGAGCAAAACCACCAGAGGAGTCGGTTTCAAATCTAGCTTTACAGGCATAGGGTTTAAAAATAGCTCTGCCTTTGTCTGCTAGAGATGACTTTCCCTAAAGGGACAGCTGTCCTTAAACCAACTGCTCAATTCACAGGGCAAACAGATTCTTATTTTTTCCCAGTACCTAGCACATACCTCCAGGAGGGCACCCCCACGTACCACCTCGGATACCATCTGAAATGGAAACACACAACCTTCAGAACCACTCCCGCCATCCCTGCTGGTCTGGGAACAGCTAGAATACTCCACCTCGGACACCGCGAAGCCGGCAGGTAGCTACAGCGTTGGGGGCCCCCACTCTCCCCTTCGTGGAGAGGGTAGCCCCGAAATCCTGGCAATCATGCCATGATCACATCAGCTTTCCACAGGGTCCCAGGAGTATTTCTCCACGGGTATTTCTCTGGACATTTGACTTTATTCTCTGATGAAGGGAGCTAGGCAGAGGAACCGGTTTGAGATGCACACGATAGGAAAGAGGGTAATCCTGGTGAATAGTTTGTGGAGAATTCACCAGCACGTTCACCTTGTCATTCCAACACACCCTTGAAGTAGGCAGACTTCATAATGCATAGTTTGTCAATTTCTGGCTTCATTTCCTTTCAACCAGCACTAACAACACAATGCTACCGAGCACAACTCAAAGATGGGAACAACTGAAAATCAGTATTGGGTGACTCACTCTACCATTACCTCTTGATTAGATCGATGGCATAGTTCTATCAGCTAAAAGTGCACGAGGATGCTCATTAATATACTATTTCTTTTTCTTTCTTTCTTTTTGTACCAGGGATCAAACTTGAGTCCTTGGTGTTTGCAAGGCAGGTGGAGGAACCACTGAGCTAAATCCCCGGCCCCTAATATACTATTTCTTTTCAGCAAACTGATGTCTCTTGACCTGTGTAAAAGTTTTGCATAAAGTTTTACAAGAAGTAAAAAAGCATCCATTGGTACAACAGGACCCTGGAATTCAATATTGGTTTTTCCCATTCAAGTTGAAGGTACCGACCACTGCTTCTCAACTGGCAAAGATTTTATTCCCAGGGCACATTTTAGGAGTGTGAGACTTTTTTTTTTTTTTTAACTTGTCACAGCTGGGGGGCAGGTCTCCTAGGAGGTACAGGTAAGGATGTCATTAAATACCCTACAATAACAGCATCCTATAGGACTTACCCAGTAACACAGCCCAGGTTGAGAAATCCCAGTGGAGACTGAAATTATGCAATTCCCAGAATGTTCAAGGCTACATTTGTGATGTTCCCTTCTGAGGACTTATTTTCCTCAAGATTCACTTGGTGCTTCTATTCTGGTCACTCCTGTGAGTTACACAGAATAATCAAGGACTTCCTCCTTTTCCAGTTTCTCTTGCAGTATACATCCATCAAGCCCACAGCCCCAGGCTTTCATCTTACCTCATAATCTCTACAATGATCAACATTATACGAAGAGCAGGGGGAGATTTTTATCTGTACGGCAATTAAAGAGGAGCTTTACCAGTTTTTCTTTTCTGTTAGCACAATGAGTTTTCAACTCAAAGAAGAAAATTATTTCCATTATCATTATTAATTATTATTATTATTATATTAGTGTTTGAACAAGGGCTTTTATACTGAACTATATTCTCAGATCTTTTAAACAATTTTTCCCCTTGTCCCCACCCCCCCCTCACCCCCTCCTCCCCTCCCCACCCTCAAACACTTTAATACCATTTTTACATTTTCTCAATTTTTTTCCTTTTCCCTTGCTCCCCTTTCCCTAGCCTTCTCACTGTCCCTACACCTTTGGTCCTTTTCTTCCTATTTCACGTTGCTAATTGTCCCGTTAGGATCTTCAGTACTATTTTAGTTTTTCACACCAGAGAAGCTATTCGGTATTAAACAATTTCTTTTAAAAAAATTCTGAGATGGGGTCTTGCTAAGTTACTGAGTCTCCCAGATTGGGCTTGAACTTGAAATCCTCCTGCCTCGGCTCTTAAGAGTACTGGGATTACAGGCAAAAGAAGTCGTTTAAATAAAGACCTTATTTCCAGACCCTCGGTGTCTTCTCAGTGTTATGCCTGCCGCCATAACAAAAGGAGTCCTTTGCCATGGACTCCAACTCTGACAGGGGCACCCCAAAGTTCTGAGAGTTACAGAGCAATGCAGACTCCCGGGAACCGTGACAAACCACTTAAATCTCAAATTCCAAAATCCTGATTTTTTTTTTTTTAACTGTCAGTGGGAACACCCCAATCCACTATTAGGCAAAACGTTGCCTTTATATTTGCCTGCAGAGGAAAGTTATACAAGGTACATAAACACTTTAGGAAGGTATTTCAGAAGAAGAGGACTGAAATAAATGATGGAAGTTGAGACAGATCGAACAACAGCCCACATCTTCCTCCGACAGGAGAACAGCCAGTAGTACCGCTCCAACCCTGGAGAGGTACTGATTCTCATCTTCACAGTAATCTCACCAAACAGACCCATGCCCTCTACACAAAGGGCAGCCAGGGCTCCAAGAAAGGAGAGTGTCATCGTCCAAAGCCACGAAGCGAGGAAGGGGCAGAAGCCTCCCTGCAAAGCCCACGGGAGATCTGCCGCCTCCCTGCCCTCCCCGCCAGCTGTGCTCCTACTTGGAAGGGTCAGGCCTTTTGGTGGCTGTCTGTTCACGCGGAGAAAGTAGGGACAATGGCACTAAATGTTCCCTGAAGCAGGGACACTGCTCGGTTTCTCCAGGAGTGGCTACAGGGCAGGCCTTCGGCCCATGTGAGCCTGTGAGTTACCACCCGCGTGCTTTGGGGAAGAGATGAGAGAGGTCTGAAAGCCCAGAGCCATCTGAAAGGGTGAACTTTAACTGCACTCCTCACGCATGGAGTCAGGGGTACTCGCTTCCTCCTTTATTGTATTTCCTCCTGTTTAAATCTCCTCGTTCTGTGTGTCACAGAAATTTCTGCGTGAGCCGAGGACACAGAGTTGAGTAACCACCTCTGAGACAAGTGTCGCTTTGTCCTGCTGTCCTTCCCCGAAGTGATGGCCCCTGCGCTCTGTGACCTTCCTGGCAGTCTCTCAGGCTGCGCCTTTGTCCCTGGCTTCCTGTGCATAAGGAATGATCTTTCTTTGGGCTCATCTTGCACTCTGGGGTGCTAAAGACATGGATCCAGAGCGGCTCCGAGCATTTAGCGATGGGTTTTTACCTACTCGCCTCTTCAGATGATGTTTCTGGATATCATTTCAGCATCGGCTATAGCTGATTTTGTAGCCCTGCGGGCTGTGCTGAAGGGGGATTAGGTATGAAAATGACAACAAAAGATAAGCACGATTTGGATGATAGGAACAGTAATATATGAGAGAGAGAGAGAGAGAGAGAGAGAGAAGGGGTGTCTGGTACTGAGGAGGAGGCCAAGCCTCCTAAGCTAATATGAGAGCCTGCCTTTAGCTTCTAGTTTTTAACGACAAAACAAGATGAAGAAATTATCTACCCCCCATGCCTACTCTCCTTTCTTCCCTTTCAGGCCAGAGAAGAGTGAAAGTAGGTAAACTAAACCTTACAGAAAATCTACCCAAATCATCCAGCAAGATCTTAGCCTCTACCTATCAGGTGAAAAAAGAAGAGGGCTAGGAGATGAGATACAGGCTTAAATGATCCAAATCATGAGCTGTCAGGTGGGCGGTGTATCTTAAACTACAGTTCTTGGAGCAGCTGTAGGAAATCGTAAAGGGAGCCGTTTCACATGCACTCCTGGGCTCCCACCCAGACCTGAAAACTCACACGAGTTTCTAGGGCTAGAGGCACAGAGTCTGCGTGGACCCGACTCTCCCAGTGAGACGTACAGATGTGTGCGAAGTGGGAGACCGCCCTGGGGGTGAGTGGAATGCACACTGAAACCTCCCAAGGGTCCGGACGGTTACACCAGCCCCGCTGCCCCGCACGCCCAGTCCCCGCTTCCTCTTCCCTCTCAGCCCTAGGGAGTTTACCTGGTCTGATGGGGCTCTGCATACAGTTTGGAGACGGGATGCCAGGGTGCAGGGGTGCAGAGGCCCTGCTGCTGAGGTCCATGACCGAGGGGGCAGCCGAGGCGGCCGGCTGCAGGCTGGGCGGGTGGGGGCTGTGGTCGTGCTGGGACGGGCTGGGGGGAATGCCATTTTCCGACAGAAACTCCTCCAGGTCCATGTACTCCAACTGGAAAGTATCTCCGTCATAGGGAAGGGTTTTGTCCCATAAGGTGGGCCCCAAGAATGCCGACTGGGGGATCGTCGGGCTGTTACTCTCATCGTCCAGCTTCTTCTCCTTGTCTTTATCTTTGCTAAATGCTGCAGAAGAACGGAAAGCTGGATTAAGAAAGAAAGAAAAAGTGGGGCTTTCTTATCACCCTTGCTGGCCTCTGTTACAAAACTACTTCGCCCAGGCACCAGGTTCTGCAGCTGCCGTCTTGTGTGATGTGAGGGGAAGTTTAGGCAGGACATGGATCTTTGCCTGGTTTTCAACATCTTCCTATTGACTTTGGAAAGAAAGCGCCAGTCCATGGGGCAGGACAAGGATCAAAACAAGAGAACAATCTTCAGGGCATTATTTGAGGAGCTAAGCAATTTAAATCGACAGTGGGAAAATATCACCTAAGATCACATACAACTGCCATTTCCAGAAAACCACCAATAACCAGGTTTGCTTCACGTTCCAGAAATGTATCACAGTAACAATATGAGATCCTTCGGATTTATAAAACCAGGGAGACCCTTAATCTTGGGAAGGCAAGGACTCTCCACCCTTCGTTAATACCGTGTATTGAGTGCCTAATATATGCCCGATTCTTCATATATCATCTCAAAAATATCACAGTAAGCATGCAAGAAAAGCAATTATCCCCATTCCCAAGGAAGACATGGAGGCTCTGAGGAACCAGAGAAGAAAACTGAGAACTATCTGAACCATATGTATTTGCTTTGAAAGCCACCGGGGCACAGTGTCTCTTTTACAAAAGCAGTAAATAAACGGAAAGTGTTTTCTCCTTTCTCCTCCCCAAACACCTAAATAGTAGCCAATTCACAAAACAGCATACATCCATGCAGCCTGTCCAAAGCAGGGCTCCCGGGAAAGGTCAATTATTTATTCTACATACCTATGACGGAAGCACGCAGCTATGTCCTACCTGGAAACACCGCTCACCAGCTTAGGGCTGTAACAGGCGCTGTGCCTTTTGCCAATTCTAGTACTGGGGCGTGGGTGGAATCTGGGATTAAGGGATTTGCTTCAGAGTTTGTTCCTCGGAGGAACAGCCTCCACCGCCATCCATCCAAACTAACCCTGTGCAGTTTCATCTGAGAATCTGACTTGCAACACCCACAGCCTCCGAGTCCGCCGGTCGCCCCTTCCTCCCGAGCGCCAGGCCCCCGGGGCGTGGGGGTTCGGCTCTGCAGAACGCAACCAAACCCCCCAACTCTTGCCACGCAACAGGTTGTCCACTTCTAGGAGAGAAGGGAATACTCCCGAGCTATCTGTAGCCAAATCATCTCTTAACACTATGCAAAGGCCGCTTGATTTGGAAACATCACGGTTGATACCAACGCACCAAAGTGCCCAAGTGGCGAACGCGTGCGGGTTCGGCTCCGTGCCCTGCTTGGGCTCCCAACCCCTCCCCTCCCGCCACAGCCCAGGTTAGGCAGGGAAGGTCTGGGACTTACCAAGAAAGGGCTCC